TGGGCTGGCGCACCAGCCGGGCTGTCTGACGGGTGGTGTGCCGATGTGATGTGATGGCTGTCTGGTCACTGACCGGTGTTTCTCTGTGCAGCGGGCTGGCGCACCAGCCGGGCTGTCTGCAGGTGTGGTATGATGTGATGTCTGTGTGATCACTGACCGGTGTTTCTCGGTGCAGCGGGCTGGCGCACCAGCCGGGCTGTCTGGACGGGTGGTGTGCAGATGTGATGTGATGTCTGTCTGGTCACTGACCGGTGTTTCTCTGTGCAGCGGGCTGGCGCACCAGCCGGGCTGTCTGACGGGTGGTGTGCCGATGTGATGTGATGTCTGTGTGATCACTGACCAGTGTTTCCCTGTGCAGCGGGCTGGCGCACCAGCCGGGCTGTCTGATGGGTGGTGTGCAGATGTGATGTGTTGTCTGTCTGATCACTGACCGGTGTTTCCCTATCCAGCGGTCTGGCGCACCAGCCGGGCTGTCTGATGGGTGGTGTGTATATGTGATGTGATGTCTGTGTGATCACTGACCGGTGTTTCCCTATCCAGCGGTCTGGCGCACCAGCCGGGCTGTCTGATGGGTGGTGTGTATATGTGATGTGATGTCTGTCTGATCACTGACCGGTGTTTCCCTATCCAGCGGTCTGGCGCACCAGCCGGGCTGTCTGATGGGTGGTGTGTATATGTGATGTGATGTCTGTCTGGTCACTGACCGGTGTTTCTCTGTGCAGCGGGCTGGCGCACCAGCCGCGCTGTCTGACGGGTGGTGTGTATATGTGATGTGATGTCTGTCTGGTCACTGACCGGTGTTTCTCTGTGCAGCGGGCTGGCGCACCAGCCGGGCTGTCTGACGGGTGGTGTGCCGATGTGATGTGATGTCTGTCTGGTCACTGACCGGTGTTTCTCTGTGCAGCGGTCTGGCGCACCAGCCGGGCTGTCTGATGGGTGGTGTGTATATGTGATGTGATGTCTGTCTGATCACTGACCGGTGTTTCTCTGTGCAGCGATCTGGCGCACCAGCCGCGCTGTCTGACGGGTGGTGTGTATATGTGATGTGATGTCTGTGTGATCCCTGACCAGTGTTTCTCTGTGCAGCGGGCTGGCGCACCAGCCGGGCTGTCTGCAGGTGTGGTATGATGTGATGTCTGTCTGATCACTGACCGGTGTTTCCCTATCCAGCGGTCTGGCGCACCAGCCGGGCTGTCTGACGGGTGGTGTGTATATGTGATGTGATGTCTGTCTGGTCACTGACCAGTGTTTCTCTGTGCAGCGGGCTGGCGCACCAGCCGGGCTGTCTGATGGGTGGTGTGTATATGTGATGTGATGTCTGTCTGATCACTGACCGGTGTTTCTCTGTGCAGCGGGCTGGCGCACCAGCCGCGCTGTCTGACGGGTGGTGTGTATATGTGATGTGATGTCTGTCTGGTCACTGACCAGTGTTTCTCTGTGCAGCGGGCTGGCGCACCAGCCGGGCTGTCTGATGGGTGGTGTGTATATGTGATGTGATGTCTGTCTGATCACTGACCGGTGTTTCTCTGTGCAGCGGGCTGGCGCACCAGCCGGGCTGTCTGATGGTGGTGTGTATATGTGATGTGATGTCTGTCTGATCACTGACCGGTGTTTCTCTGTGCAGCGGTCTGGCGCACCAGCCGGGCTGTCTGCAGGCGCTCATCAGCCGCCTCTCCGCCGAGTTCAGTCGGCAGAACAGCGACTGTATGGCCACCGTGCAGGCCACGCTCGAGCTGGTGCGACTGCTGGCCGAGCCGCAGTCGGCGGCGGCGCTCAGCCTGCCCCAGCTGGCCGCCGCGCTCCGCTGGACCGAACAGGGCGAGGAGGCCGGCGAGCTGGTTGACCCGCCGCTGCGCGTGCTCGAGAGGAAAATACACCAGGTGAGACATTCGCACCTGACCGAGGATCGGGCGGGGCTGCGTGGAGTCACGGGATGGTGGAGCGACGTGGAGCTGTCTGTTTGGGGTTAAGTGTGGTCATGAATTGTTATCAAGGAGCGTTTTCACGGGGAGGGTCAGTTGCGCTGTGTTGTCAAGGATTTGCGTGGACAAGTGCATTCCGCATTCAGCAGTGTCGTCAGGGACTGATGCATTGTCACGGGTTGTTTGTCGTATGGGGTGTTCTCAGTAGCCTTTCGTACTGACTCGCGCTCGCTCCGCCTCAGGAGGTGCGCGGCGAGGACGAGGAGCTGGACGCGCTGCGGGACGGCCTTGCCGACGTGATCCGACAGCTGGCCGGCGTCGACGAGGTGGCCGACAGCGTGGAGCCGGGCGAGCCGCCGCCCGACGGACGGCCGCCGCCGTCGCTCGACCAGCTCTACCAGCAGCGGCCCGTGTTCGTGGTCACCGACGACGAGGAGATCCCCGGCTACTGGCTGCAGCAGTCGCTCGACGACGAGATGGACAACGACGACGAGCTGGTCAGTGGTGTAACTCCTTCCACCCGCCGCTGGATCGGCGGCCTTCCCCCCGCCCGTACCGTAAGGGCTCCCGGTAACTCGGAGCTCAGCTGACTGGTTACATTATGGCAGCGTCTGTGACTATAGCTGACTTCGTCTACATATGTGTCGCCTTTGACTCTAGATGTATATAGAGTTTCTGAGTCTGACCCTCGAGCCGACTCCTGGCTCACTCCGGCTACGCAGCACAGTCTGTGACAGACTTGACTTGACTCCAGCAGTGTATCAGGCCTTTGACTCCTGAACTGACCCCCATGCTGACTCCGCTGTGCGTCACCCCAGGTGAGCGTCAACCTGGCTGCGGTGGCCCGGGAGCTGCTGCCGGCGGTGGACCTGCCCGCCGAGCTGAGCAGACTGCTGCGCGGCCGCGACACCGCCGACGCCCGGCCCAGCGGCAAGGTGCCGTCGGCCCTGCTGCCAGGCGCCAGGGAACGCGGGCACTTCAGTGAGTCCAGACCTGACGCTTGTGTTGCAAGTTGTTGCAAGTTGTGACGCTTTGTGATCGATATTTAGTAACTGTAGTTGCGCTGAGAGCATATTCACTCCTCACTCCTCATGACGGCTTGTTGATCCCGGTGTGGTTTTGGATTTATGGTGTCTCCAGTCTGACCGCTATGTTCGCCGGGCAGGTCTGCCGGCGCGCGGCCGGGGCTTCAACCGACCGCTGGCTCGCGGTGACCACTTTCGCTCTCGGCCGCCCAACACCTCTCGACCGCCCTCGCTGCACGTGGACGACTTCGTGGCGCTGGAGAAGCGCGGCGAACACCCTACCGGGCCGACGGGCTATAATGGGGTGCCGCGCGTGCCTGCCCGCGGACGGGTCAGTGACTGTCCTCATAGCCCACTCTGGTTGTCAACAAAAACGTCATTTGACCCTAGATGGCTTTGCTTGACATGTGTTTTTTTTTTTTTTGCCTGAATGGAGGTTAGGAGTAGAACTGAGGTGTGGACAATTAGACGGATGTCAGCTTGAACAAAAAATATTTTGTGTTGTTTTCCCACAATTAGTGTTGATGCCTCGGTATCATCCTTATAATCTGTTTTGTTTGTGTGCAGGGCTCGAATCGGTCACGGGCCAGGTCCCGCGGAGGGTTTGGCGACCGGGCGCGCGGAGGATTTTCAGAGTTCCGCGGCGGTCGCAACAGAGGTGAGCAGTTTTTCTGTGCCCAGTATATTCTTTTCCACCAAGACAGTATTAGCTGACGCTCGCCGTAATACCTAGACGTCTTCCGGCGTAACTTTATTTGTTGTTTTTTCCCTGCCTTAGTTATTTGTCGATCTCGTTGTTCAAACAATTTAAGTTGTTTTTATCGAATGTCTGGCCGATGGCGATCTGGGACCTATAAAAATGTGTCTTTGCATTGCTGTTGACCTCTGTATGAAAATCAGCCTGTATGACCCATGTTCTTCTCCGCCGTCACAGGAGGCGGCGGCGGTCCGTCTGCCCGCGGCGGTGGCGGAGGCGGCGGCGGCGGCGGCGCAGACAGCTACCGGGGCAGTCCGGCGCGGTTCCGCCCTGACGGCCGCCACGAAGAGCGGTTCGGCTGCGCGGTGGCCAACAGTGGGTTCCGCGGCGGCCGGCGCGGCGGCGGAGGCGGCGGCGGGGGCAATGGACCCTACGGCGGCAGATTCGATAAGAGAGAACGATTCGGATTTGGTCGTGAGCGCGGAGGGAAACATTTCCGGCCGTTCGGTAGGTAGATGTTGTAACTGTCCGCACGCGATCGTGATTTGTGTTGAATCGGGGCCCAGAGATCCAGCAGCTGGTGATTCAGCTGGTTTTGACTCAGTGGTGACTGTGAGCCTCTGGACTGAAAATATTGTGTCACTGTGTCAGGTGTCTTGCCTGTGAATGCAGATTACTTTATTGTTCACGAGAATACAAGTTTTGTAGCATATGATGGTACACGCTCGTTTGTGGTTGTCACATGTTTTGACACCCAATCATTTGCTTGGAAGTCAGCGCGATGTGTTCAGTTATGGAAAGCTGTCCAGGTACGAATAATGCCAGCAAAGTTTTTTGAAAACTCCTTTTTATGCCAGGAACAAAAGAGGACTGAAAGTTGAATGTCATTGGGCTATGATTTACGGTGACATCGGCTATGATTTACTTCTGCATTTTCCTCATCGTATTTGCTGGAGAAGGGCGGATGCTCTATTCGTTGGCCAAGAGAGAGTGTTCAGGGACTAATGGACTTGACGTGACAATTGTGTGTGTATGTGAAGGGACTAGGGAGGTCATTCAGCGATCTGCAGCTGCAGCTGAAAGGGAATGCAAGTAGCAATGTGCAGATCAGACCTGTTAGTCGTCTCCCTCACCATATAACCATAATTCGTTGTCATTGCCAAGCCCATGGCGGTGTCCCGTGGCCAAGGCCGTATATTAGGCCCGTGGGCCGTGGCCTTGCCCATTGCCTGGCCCGGTTTGGCCCTGTTTACATCGAGTTTACATACCCCGCGTTCGATGTCTCTCGGACGGCAAAGATTCTACGCCGTCCGGCCAATCACGTTCCATAACAGCAGCCGAGCCCCCGCTGACCTTGAATGGGATTGGCCGGACGACGCAGAATCTTCGCCGTCCGAGAGACATCGAACGCGGGGATAGCCTTGGCCTGGCCTAAGGCTTGGATGCTTTGACTATCTGTAAGAATCTTGGCCTTTGCTTGGAGTTGTCTTGGAGGACTTGGATGATCATATGTGCAAGAATCTTGAGATGATCTTTCTGTAAGAATCTTGGGGTGATCGTCGACGCCAGGGGCGTAATCACTCCTCCAAAAATGGGCTGGAAATAACTCCCTCCGGGGGGCGGCATCAAATGCCAAGGGAAGGGCGGCACTTGTGTTTCGGGAGCCAGAGGTGAGTACTTGAGGGCATTTACTGTGTCGCTGTTGTGTGTCAAATTCTTACGCTTTGTGAAATACGAACAATAATCAGCAGTCAACTGACTACACGTTATAAGGGGCAGACGCAGAGAACACGCCACAGCTCTGGTGTTCGAGATACTGGTACTTAATGCGGTAGATATGCATGCGTAAGATGGGTGGTCAGCCCGCTGCTGGCAGTTTGACTTTGCTACTACGCACCGGATTGATAAATGATAGGCACACTCTTCAATAGTTCACTTCATTCAGGTGAGTTCAATTGCAATGGGATCTGACCATGGGCGTCAAAAGCGGGGGGGGGCTCTCTCTAAGGACCCTTACCGGCCTCAGGGCCCTTACCGGCCAGAGCGTCCTAACCAGCCTGAGGGGCCTTACCGGTCCATTAGGGGCCAGCTCTAGGGGCCCCAGGCCACACCCGTCTGTGACGGTCCCACACCAATTTCTTTGAGGGCCCCGTAATGGCGACTGATAGCCCTCACCGGCGCCTCTGAGGGCCTAAACAGGTCCCGAAGGTCCCCCACACGGGCACGAGGGGCCCTGTGGCGCCAATTGGCCGTTGAGGGTTTACTGACCATATTTCTGTCACATTTCGACTCAGAAGTGCCCCACAGGGCTCGTAAGGACATCCCATGGGCCCCTGAGTAGCCACACTAAGTTCTCCATAAAGGCCCTACGCCACCTTCTGAGTGTCCCTTGCTGGCTTCTAAGGGCCCTTACCGGCCTATTGCGGGCCACCTCTAGTGGCCTCGAACCCGCCTGTGATAGCCCCACACAAATTTCTGAGGGCCCATAACGGCGACTCTGAGGGTCCTCAACGGCGCCTATGAGGTCCCAAACCGGCGTATCTGAGGGTCCAACCCCCCACCCCCCAACTCTGACGGCCTACACCAGTGTCTCTAAAGGCCCTGTATCGGCGGTCCTGAGGGCCCCACACCAGTGGCTCTGACGGCCTCACACTGGTGACTCGGAGGGTACCAGCAGCATCTGAGAAAACCATGCCGGTGTTTAAGGACCCCACAGGGCTCCTCAAGGCACCACCGACTTCTGAAATCCCCTTGTCGGCTTATGAAGGGTCCACAACAGCAGCTCGCGCCTCTGATGGCCCTGTGTCTCTGAGGGACTCTACATTGGCGCCTGTGAAGGGCTTCACCGGCGACTGTGCAGGTCCTACACCGGCGCTTCTGAGTGCCCCCACACTGCCACCTCTGAGGGCCTCATACCAGTGCTTCTGAGGGCCCCACGCTGGCACTCCTGAGGGCCCCACACCGTGCCTCTTTAGGACCTTTATTAGCGGCTCTGAGGACCCAACATCGGCACCTCTGAGGGCCCCACACCAGCGCATCTGACGGCCACCCACCGGTGACTTTTGAGTGCCCTACATCGGCGACTCTGAGGGCCCCACCGGCGTCTGAAAGTATTGTGCCGGTCTCTAAGGACCCCACAGAGCTTCTGAAGGTATCGCCGGCCTATGGGAGCCCTTTGCTGGCCTGAGGGCCCCTTGCTGGTCTCTGAGAGCCCCCTGCCGGCTTGTAAGGGGTTCAGACCAGCAGCTCTAGCCTCTATGGGCCCCACATTCGTCTGTGACGGCCAGTGTCTCTGAGGGCCCACAACGGCGCCTGTGAGGAACCTCACTGGCGTCTCTCAGGGCCTCACACTAGCACTTCTGAGGGTCCACACCGGCACCTCTTTGGCCTCAGTCAGCAATAATACCTCTGAGGACCCCACAATAATGCTTCCGAACCGGTCCTACCGAAGTCATCACTTAACCCTCGCCCGTATAAGGGGGGGGGGGGGGTCGAACGGACCCCCCAATGGTTTTTCGCGAATAAATCGCGTGAAAAGCGGCCGATCGCGACGAAACTGTAAGTGCCCTCGCGTTTATCAATTTTACACCTACCCTTAAAATTTCATGACCCTGACCCTAATGACCTTTGACATGTGACCTACTTTTCGAGACCATGTTTGGCCGGAATCGCGATTCGGCTGATGTCGGCTCGCATTAGCCGCGCGTTTGCAGTCTTTTCGTGGTTTCAAGCTTTCAAACATGGGATATGATGTTGCTCCCATGCATTAGGGTGGGTGTCAAGGTCACCGGAAGGTCAGGTCAGGTCAATAGGCGACTATCAGTCGCCTTTGATGACCTCGGTTCACTTTTTCGAGTTTTACATGTTTCTAGGCTAGTTTTTTGAGCTGAATTCGAATTTAGCAACCATTTGAACATTTACCAAGTAGTTTTGGTGCCTTCGTAACATGTTACGAAGCTGTCAGAGGCGGTTGCCACCTACTACGAATACCCGGCAAAACCCTTAGGTACTAGTTGACCTGACCTGACCTGACTCGACCTGGCCTAAATGCATTTATACATCATCTATTATCATAACTAACATGATATTCGTAATCAGCACCCTAAAAACCCCATAGTAACCACGTTTTACGACGTTCTAACTGGTCCCGATTTTCCCGACTTTTGGGTCATTGACCTGACCTGGAAGGTCAACCGATGATCTAGGACCTTAAAATTGGGTATCATCGGCTTCCTCTCGTCACGGGCAACACGCTCGTTTTTTCCGCGAAGCTCTAGGTCGATCAGGGGCGAAACGGCAAGGGGGGGGGGCAACGGACCCCCCCCCCCTTATACGTTCGTGGCTGGAAAAACACCAATACGGGCGAGGGTTAAGTCCTTTATCACCTCGCTAAGCTTCAATCCCATACCGGCCTTCGGAAGGCACCACGCCAGTGCACTCACTGCCCCACACGAGCAACTGTAAAGGCTTCACACTGACCTCTCTTGAGTCTCACACCGGTGTCTTCCTCTGAGGGTCCCATACCGGCTCATTGCCCACGGCCCGGCCACTCACCGGTGATGCTGAGAGTCCTCACCGGTGACTCTGAGGGTCCTACACTGAAGACTCTGGAAGCCCCCACCAGCTTCTAAGAGCACCACGCGACGCCGGCCTCTGAGGGTATCACGCCAAAACCTCAACGGATCACACACCCGCCTGTGAGAGCACCACGCCGACGCCTCTGAGAACCTCAAAGGGCTTGACCAGTGCATCTCTGAGGGCGTAACACTGGCATTTTAAGGCACCACGCTGGTCTTTGGGTGCCCAACGCACAGGCCTTCTGAAAGCAGTACGCAACTTTTAAGCAGCCACGCTTAACTCTCAGAGCCCCACACCGGCCTCTGATGGCCCCTAAGCTTTCGAGCCTGCCTAAAGAGGACCCATTCCAGGCGTGACCCTGCAGGACGGGATCCAGCCAAAGACCTCACCCACTCAAGGGCCCCACAGTAGACCGAGGACTCTTTCAAGTGCTCAGCTTTACTCTTGAGTCTTGCTGCGCGCTCAGGGCACTACTCGTTGGCTCGGAATGTTTACATCAAGCAATCACACAGGGCCTTTTCGCGACTTCGATGGTTGTTTGCGATCAGAGCGTCTCACCTGACGCTCTCATGGGCTGAATTCGCATAGGCGAATCCCTTAGACTTATCGAGCCCAAAATGTAACACTTTTTGTTGGGCAGCATACAGAGCCCGCCAAAACGTGCGCACGTCCTTCATTTGCGCACGTTAAGAGTAGCAACCAAACTGTGATACCTAGGCATGGAATTATGAATCCCCCGGTCCGCGCGATGTTCACCTATCGGAGACGTTTTAGCACAATTCGCCAAGTCAATGCGTAGTTATTATATGTAAACAGCAGCAATTTAAGCACCCCTGACTGAGCTTTCGCAAATATTCGCCAGGGTTAGGGGCGAAAAACGCCCCCCCCCCCCCCACTGGGCCAGCGAGGGCTAGCATTCCGGGGAGCGGTGGCACAGCGCCTGACGAGAGCAGCACAGACGTCGATGGAGCGTTATAGGGAGGGGCGAATCATTAAACCTTTTGACGCATTCTGGGAAGGGGAGGCGCGTAAGGGCAGAAAGGCGTCTGGGGAGGGGCGGCACGTAGCGGCGGCAAGGTGCCTTGGGAGGGTGGCGCCGACTGCGATAGAGCATTGTGGGGAATGGCGGCTTGTTGACGGCGGCGGGGTGTTGTGGCGAGGGGCGGCACATAGTGGGCGCCAAGATACAGATACAGATACAGATACAGATAGTTTATAGATACTCTGGGGAGGGCGGCAAGGCGTTTATGGAGGGCGGCACAGACGGTGGTAAAGCGTTGTGGGGAGGGGCGGCACAATGGGGGCGGCGGGGTTTGTGGTGAGGGGCGCCACATAAAGGGCGCCAAGGCACTTCGGGGGGTGGGCGCACATATGGCGATAGAGCATAGGGCGGCTTATTGAGGGCGGCGGGAAGTTGTGGCGAGGGCAGCACATAGAGAGCGCCGAGGTACTCTGGGTCCTGGGGAGGGCGGCACAGACGGCGATAGAGCTATATGCGGAGGGGCGGCACATTGAGTGCGGCGGGGTTCTGTGAGGGGCGGCACATAGAGAGCTCCGAGGAACTTGAGGGGAAGTCGGTGCGGAGGGGCGGAAGGACATCTGGGAGGGGCGGCATGTAGAGGGCACATAGTTATTTTAGTGAGGAGCGGCACGTTGAGGTCAGGCGTATAGTGGACCAAGCACTGCCGTTTCTTTTTTCTTGATTTTGAAGTCCGCGAGTCCCGCAATTGCAGTTTTCCTCTACCGGGGGCGGCATTTCAGCATCCCAAAAATGGGCTGGAATTTCCAGCGTTCCAGCGCGGTGGTTACGCCCATGGTCGACGCTATGTTTAATAATTTTTCTTTTAAATTCTGCGCTAGTTGTATTTTGAATTTTGAAATACGTCACTTCAAAAAGTTTCGTATTCAGTTATATAATTGTATTATGACATCCTTGAGCAGCAATCATAATACAAATGTGATGCAGCAGAGACGTATCCGGTGTAGCGAAAACACCAAGGGGCCAGCCTATAGCCTTGGGGCCAGCGTTGAAAACAAGAAAACGAAGGAGGATTTTGTTATTATTTTGTGAGCATTTCACTTATGTAAGTGTTTCATCAAATGTTCCAGATTATTTCCAGTATGTCTTTTGGTCTAGTTTTTTATTTCATTCTGCTATTTTTGCAGTTTGTAATAACAATAAAGCAAATTGACAACGTTTTGGCTTGTTTTGGGTGGTTTTGGTTTACCAACATCCTTTTTTCTGCAGGTATTTGATTTGTTCAATTCTCTGACAGGTTGAGGCTGCATTTGAAAAGGTCCTTTTGTTTTTCCCAGTTCTCTATTTACCATGGTTTTTCCTACATTAGAGAATATCAATATTCCTTGGATCGTTCTGCAGGCAGGCTGCTTGCAGAAGATCTGACTTGTAAATGTGACTTATTCATTTATTTTAGTCATTTTTCCATTAATGCCTGTCAATTTGTATTTACTTTGCACTTTATATGAACCTCAAGTGAAGAAAGAATCATGTCAGTAGGCGGAACTATGGTCATGAGTACCCAAATATAGGAACGTTCCCATTTTTGGGAACGGAGTTCCCAAATATGGGAACGGGCGTTCCCATTTATGAGAACGGAAGGCAATTTTTCGGCCGTTCGCCCACTAAAACTCAAAAGTGCATCACGTCTCAAAAAAGTGCACGCTGATTTAAGTATCTACTAAATCTCCATAAAGTTATCTTTAATCTGACCGTGGAACAAGGAAATTGACCGTGGAATGATATTTTTAATGATTTTTTAAAAATGACAGAATGGTGGAAATATGGGTTATACGACATTTAACATGCAATTTTAAGGAAAATGAAGCATTTTTTACATTTTGAGGTCAAGTATAATAATTTTCGCCTGGTTATGAAGTTTCATTCTAGCGACACCAGATGCTGACATATGCAAGCGAACACGCGGACAGTCCCGAGGTAATATTGTTGACTTTTGGTGTCGGGGCGATCGACCGCGTGAAACGTCAGTGATTTTACCGAACTACTGTTGTAAACTCAGTTTCAGTGGTTTAAAATCATTCAGCTGTATTTTATCAGCCCTGAAAGACATATTTTATTTGGATGCTAGCTGTTTAGCGTTGTTTTATAAGCAGCGTCATGAGCGTGGTTTTTGTCTTCGGCGTTTCTAAGCATGATCGTTTGGGGGGAATTTCTCTGATATAGGTCGCTCTGTGTGGCTTATTTATAATTTTTATGCTGATTTCGATCATTCCTCGTGCCCATCCTACCAGGCCTTTTGCCACTTACACTCATTAAGAAAGGAAAAAACTAGATTTTCATTGGGACTAGGTGTTTTGAGGGTGTAACATATTAAGCGTTCCCATTTTTGGATACTTCTTGTGCTCGTCAACTCTCGGTGATTAGCAGACAGGTGCTTGACATGTCTCCACCCTCGGCACGGACGGTGGATATAGGTATGGAAGACCTTGTTGAACATCGCTGAGCGTTGTGGATTACGTAATCCTGCAGAGGGGGGCGTGCCCGCTGCGAGATCGACGGGAATAAAAGCGCAGAAGACCGGGTGAAACATGCAACGGTCTTGCCGGAAAGGTCATCTGATGATTGTTGCGTTAACAATAATTTGCGGCGTTGGACGTGATGCTTGTTAATGAAAAGAGCCCCTGAAAGGCGTCGGTGAAATCGTTCCCAATTTTGGGTACGCCGTTCCCATAATAAGGAACGCTTGCAGCGCCAGTGTACGAGAGCGTTCCCAAATTTGGGCTCGCGGCCCGGGTGATGGACTGCTTTAGAAATAGGGGAACGATTTGAAACTACGATGGGCCTTACAATATCAAACTCTTTCCCAACAATATTGAGACAACTATCAGGCGGTTCACGATCGTTTTATATTTTTTGGACGTCATTTAACGGTTCTTTTTCTTGTTTTAAATAATGCCTACATGGCGTTCCCATATTTGGGTTTATCGTTCCCAATTATGGGAACGAAAATGCGTTCCCGAAAATGGGTACGCTTGACCATAGTTCCGCCTACTGATGTAGAAGCTGCTCAATCAGTCATTTACAGCATATTTCACAACCCAATGGAAACTTGTTTGAGAAGAAAAAACATAATTCATCATGCACTCTTATATTCTCTCCACTGCAGCTGCATCCTAGCTGAAAAGGGGCGCAACATGTGCTCAGCTTTCCTCACCGTTTCTCAGGGTTCCGCAAGATGCCATGCATATCTTGCTGTGCAAATGTCCACTGGAGTCGGGAATTTTTTCAGCGAGGAAATTTCACACACAATATGGACTGTCTGGGTACAGCCTCAACCTTACCATGTGGTAGAATAGTTGTTGATATTAAAACATCAGGCCAGGATGTGTGCCCAAACATTATTGTAGGCTAGGTCAAGCCTTTGGTAACAATTATGGACTCATTTAATCCCTACCTTCTTGTATTCTCAGGAAGTGTGAAAAACTATAAACAGAGTTGGGGAAGATGGCAATAGTGGGGAACATCTCCCACTGAAAAAAGGAGATCGCCTACTGAATACTGACATGACCTTTGCTATTTTCAGATTTAACTGCTCTTTCCTGCTAGTCCTGGACGTTCGCTAACATGGCGACACCGCCTCGAGAGCCCGGCCATGTACAGCATCGCATGTCCGCCGATGAGATGCGTGTTCTGCGGGAGTGTAATTCGGAGAGCTTCTACCGTCGGAGTGTGCCGATCTCCAGCGCCATGATGGCCGGCACTCTGTACATGATCCGCTCCGGCCGCTGGCAGCCCGGACGTCGGTTCGGCGTCGTGCCGAAAGTCGCCGTAGCCGGTATCGTGGGCTACTTTATTGGCAAGATTTCATACATGGAAACGTGCAAGGAGAAGCTGATGCGTCTGCCGAACAGCGAGATCGGCCGTCTGTTGCGCAAGCAGCGCTCGGGCGGCGTGGCCGAGCTGGGTCTGCCTGAGCAGGGGGAGCCGGCGGCGGAGGCTGCGGCAGGTGCGAGCTCGGTTCGGCCCGAGTGGAGCCTGCCGCCGCGCTCCGAGGGCCTGGACGACTACTACCGGCCGACGGTGGACACGCCGGGCGCCGTGGGGCCGCTCACCACCGACGACATCCCGCCGGCGCAGAACTACACCACCTACGAGGAGCTGCGGCGCCAGAACCGCGCGGAGCTGGAGCAGCGGCTGCGGCGCGGCGCGCCCGCCGACCAGCCGCCGCCCGAGCGCCAGGAGCGCCGGCCGCCGCCCTCGCCGCCCGACTCCTCGGCCAACAAGTACGGAGACGTCTGGGACAAGTGAGCTGGGTGAACTGTTTTGTTTTGTGGTGCGTTAGGTGTGGCAGGGTATGCTAAATGTAGTGATAAAATGTTATTTCTAGTAGCAACTAGCGAGGAAGCGTCTGAGCTTTTGTCGTTCAGCAGATTGCCGTCAGGTTGACACTCGCAATGCGAGAAGTTGGTATATCCCGGCTCAGCTGCCCTAATACCATACCTACGGGGGTAAAACATGATGACGATGCGAAGAGACGCTTTTTGTGTTGACCTCAACATGAGATGTACCTATTTCAACTGGGTGTCATCCTTACTATAATTTTTACTATAGAACCAGACTTTCGTACATAAATTGTATTTGAAGGGATTACTGAGAAGCTTTCTAAGTGAACCTTACACTTTCCCGACCCGACCCCATGCAATCATGACCTTGGGGATAGAACATTGTGACGTAATTGAATATTTCACGTCTTGGAAACGATGCGAAAATAAGTATCGTTATTGTCGCAGTCGTTGCTGCTGTTGCCCGAAAACGCAAGAATCGAATGAACGCTTTCCGCGCTGCATGGCAGCATGCTGTGAAAACGCTAAATAATTGTACGTGAAACTGGGCTGAAGAGTAAAATAAAAATCCGATTACAGATCACATCAAACTTTGTATCGTTGATCATAATCGTCATGCGATGCGATCCTGTGTCAACTGCCAGGCCACCCTGACGAGAAGTTGGTATTGCGTTGGTGAACGATACGGAGTCTGACCATGGCCACATGCGGAACGCTAGCATATTGTGGCTTCAGGGAATGCGTGCTAAGATGAGTAGAACTGTGAGAGCTGGCAAACATATTCCGTGAGGAGGTGTGCATTGTGACACTTGGTTATACTACGGCAAATCACGTTCGCGTTTTAAGTTTTGTGGACCGAATAACTGCTTGATTTAAAAGCCTGCTGTGATACGCCATAACTTCTTCGCAGCTGAGTAGTACTTTGGCAATCATCCAGTACAGTCAATTAATTAATGTTAATGTAAAATTAATTGAGCTCAGAGCGTATCGTGAAAAGTGACCTCGGCGGCGCTGGCCGAGCGGCGCCGGGGCGGCGCTGTTGGAGTTGGTTGTGTCACCGCCGACGCCTGGCCTTTGGAAGCGTTGGTGGCATGGTCTACAGCGCCAAAATCAGTAGGCAACAAACACTGGAGGCGTGACGCCCCTACACTCGTCATCAGTCAATGCATTGGCACCACGAGTCCTTGCAAATGCGGACAATGCGAACCGATGTTCCGATATTTGCATACTACTTCCCTGCGCTTTTTCACCAAAAGTGTGAGAATGTTGGTCAAATCGCTTCCGTACACCTCATCAGACTATCGGTTACCAGCAATCCGTGTATATTATTGGCCGCTATTAGAAACAAAACCCACTCGAATACGTCTCGCAATACCCCCCCCCCCCCCTCCCCCAAACTACCAAAGCTTTTTGTACAAGGTCATCTAACAAACACACAAAGATGGCCCGACCTACGAACGTAGCAGCCAAAAATCAGCTACAACATCGGAAAGATACCAGTCTCGATACAATACAAATCAGTTACCAAAGTTGGGAGGTAAAAACGGGAACATGAGCTTGGCGCAATCGCCCTGCGGCCCCGGGCGCCGGCCGGCTGCCCTCCGTGCCGCCTGCAGTGGCCACACTACATCCATCGGGCCCAGATTGGGCCGACACAACGCGCCCGCCGCGCGGCGACTCGCTAAATGGCTAGAAGCGGGATCGTGCGCTCCCTCTTTGGGCCGCCCCGCCAAAGATGAGAACGAATCATCTCATGAGGTTATTTGCAGACAGCTTAAGATGAAAAGAACTTTAAAAATTCTACACCCTCTACGCCATCAAATGCAATGCGCTAACCTTGTCTAGCACACATCGAGTGAAGAGCGACACCCAAAGGATAATGAGTGACTGCCCGCGCACACACCGACCTAACAATATCACATGTTCGCTCCAGCATACAGCAGTGACGCGCGTGGGTGCGGCCGGCCCGGCCCGGCCCGGCGCCGCTCGTCCACCGATTGGCACTGAACTTGTCTCCTTCGTCCGATATGCTGGCCGTACTGCCGTTACATTTTCGTTTTGAAATTCTGTTGCACCTTCCTGGAGCCCTTGCCCTGGAAACAAACAACAAAGGCAAATAAGTGCGATCCTAATCGCTCCAAAATACGATAAAAGTAACACACACAGGCACATGGACATCGATCCAGGCGTTGGATGGAACGCATCTGGTCAGAAAGCAGCGCTGGCGGCATTGCCAACGTCGGGACACGTGATCTAAATTGATCATAAAGCTGACATATCTAAGCACAAATCTACACAAAATGAGTCATTGACCTGAAATTGATCAGAAGGGAAGAAGACGCTTTCTTTGTCACAAATGAATCAAGATCATGGTCTGTATGTATCTGTCTGTAATAAGCATGTGTCACTGAAGACTCAGATAAACGTCAAAACGAAGAGTCCGGGCTGTGTACAATACACACGCCGGGCACCTATAGACAATACATACGCCGGGCAGCTGTGGAGTGTGGACAATACATACGCCGGGCAGAAGGTTGCGCAGAGAGCCGGCCTTGTGGCCGGGTGCAGACCGGGCCAGCTCCAGTGTCGGTGATTGTCAGTAAACCCACGAGACGGGCACCTGAGAACAGATGGAAGGTCAACATCTCGTCTATGTACTCGTAATTCAAGGGGTCTTCCAGTGGGAACGATCTATGCTAGGACTAGCTTATCAAGACGGACACAAAATAAATATTATTTGTACTTCGTACTCGTATATAGCACGGCATATTTATAGTATTGATTGGTTTGATACACTATGATGCTGAAAGCTAAATTGTCCTGCATAATAGCATTGAAACATTAAGATATCACAATAAGACGATAGAAAAGAAAACAACTAACCCTTAAAAGAGTTATCATTGAACAAAAATGCAGTGAAGCGTAGGCGATGAGTACGAGTCTCCCGGACACCACTCGGCACTCACCCACTGCGGCTTATTGCCTAGGTTGTTGATATCGTCCTCCAGAATCTGAATCGTCTCCTCAATGTCGTTGTTGACAATGGTGAGGTCGAAGAAGTGGCCGTAGGCGTTCTTCAGGAGGTCCGACTCTTTGGTGAGTCGCTCCAGACTACCGTCAAACTGCGACGAGTCCAGAGACACAGAGCGTCAACATACACGAACAGAACACAGAGCGCCAACATACACGAACACAGCCTGTATGTCGCTTAGCACCCAGAGTGATTGAACGTTGAATATAATCAAACGTAGATCACGCGACACATTGTAAATTTACGTTCTCACTGTCAACCCCACTCGTAGCAAGCGCTCGGCTAATCACGGTCAACACAGATCGTGACAGGTGACCGCTCGGCCGGTGACAGTAACGCGCCTCAGGGCAGTGACAGGGGCGACACCGCCCGGTCCACCCGACTCACGTCCGTCATAATTTGCAGGCTGGGCGCGGCGATGAAGACCACGTAGGGCGCGTACTCGGCGGTGCGCAGCACTTTGAGCGCCTGCGGTTCCACGTCCAGGATGGCCATCTTGCCCTCCATGTGGATCCGCCGGATCGTCTCCAGCTTGGTGCCGTACATGGCGTCCTCGTGGGTGCCTGGCGGGCACAGATAGGACACAGTCGATGAGATGGTCTGCTCCACAGCTTAACTCTTGGATTGGCCCATTTCCAACGATCGTCGTAATCTGACCACGCTACACAGCACCAATACTAAATATCTGCACAGCCTCGTCAGTACTCGTGTGATATGTCAATGTGAACTGCTTCGTTATTTTTAGGGGATTGGAAGAAACTGGAATGCAAAAAGGAATGTTATCAGTTGGGTCTTGGCACGAATATTAAAAAAAAATATATGCATTATGCAATGCATTACTTAATGTCCGATATCCAACCATTCAAAACCAGCAAACAATTTACCATTTATTGAACAGCTAAATTAGCGTTAAAACTGCTAATCGCATGGACTATTACACTATTCACTTTCATTATTCTATATCCCCATCAAAGTAATTACGCTAAATAAACTTGTCAGGGAGCGAGTTTGCCAACATTCCATGACAGACTCCCCGACGATTTGCCGTTACGCCGCACAGTGTCGTGCCCGGCACAGGCGGCGAGCCGGCGCCCCCTCACCGTATTCCAGGTATTCGTTGGCGGCGATATCAGCCATCATTTCGTCGTGCGACACGAAGAAGTAGTGTTTCCCGTTTTCCTCGTCTTTCCTCGGTGCACGGGTGGTGTCTGAAAAAATGGGCACGAGGGACACACCGTCAGTGGGTTAGGCAGAGGAGGGTGGGGAAGACGGGACAGAAAAATGACCTGTGCACAGGTCATTTAGGTTCTCGACCATTGGGACCACGGTCATACCTTGTGGTACGTACTCTTATATCGGTGCCCCACGAAGCACGGTCGCAGTTGTATCGTAACTACGAACGTAACAATAAATAGGTGTTGCTACATTTTAAACCCTGTTGGCCAGCTGCTAGTTTACTCACGTGGTATCGGGTAGGCGTACATGTCGGGGTGAGACGAGATGAGCGTGTTCTTTATGTGCCGCCGGCCGACACCGTGCGCCCCAAGAAGCACTAGTGTTTTCCGCCGGAACGCTGCCGGGGAATGGCGCAGTCAATACACATACACTACACGGTGCTAATGGATCACGCTGAGGGAGTGACTAACGTCTCATGATAGCCTACTGCCCTCGATTGACTGAGCACGATCATTTCCAGGCAGCGGCAAAAGCACGTCGTTCGTAAGGTGATGGTCATTCTCCTTTCTGAACAATCGGTATATAATACAAGATGATAGGAGATAAGAACAGCATGTGAGCAGATCGCAGAGTTTGCAGCTAGAACGCGTCCTCAAAACAGTAGATACATAGTTTGAGTTAGAGTGCAGAGTATTACTTACAGCTCAGACGCACCACCTCCTCGTACGTGACAAGATCAAGTTGATCGAAGATTGCGTTGTGCTTTGCCAGGTACTTGTCTTTAAATTGTTTCTTTTTCTTTCCAAAAATTGAGCAGTTAACTGGAAAGAAAAGTGATGGGTTAGAAATCAGATAACGTGTTGTCGTGCAATCAACCGCGGATGCTAACTGAACCGTCACCAATGATAAACTTGTGACAAGTAGAGCATTTCGGAGAACACGGACGTAATACAATATTTTAACGTTTCTATAGTTTCATATATCCCGGTGACATATTTCGGTCGCCCTGAGTGTATATCGTATTTAAGACGCCACGGCGAAAGCTTCCTCTATGTTCGTTACACGACTTTGAGAGTCTCAATATTAAACCGTCCGTTTGTGGGCGACTGAGGGCGGTATTCCGGAAAACGGACGACACCGAGAATCGAACCCGGTCCCTCCCGAGACCCCGAACAGTCGCCTAACAGAGCGTTAGCGGTTCCACTTTAAACGAAATATGCCTGTTCTTTTTGCCAGTTAAGAAGATTAAAACATAATATGGTGTTGACATGTGAATATGTTTTCGGCTGACCTTGTTCGCGCTTGGACTTGTCCATGGCGGAGCACGCGGAGCGGTACTCCTGCAGTTCGGGGGAGGGGATCAGTCCGGCCGGCGACGCCGAGCCCTCCCGCCGGGCCTGCCACCACTGGTGGTCGTCCTTGCTGATGATCTGCGCAGACAGAGCGGTGTTAGATACAGTCCGACACGCCACTGGGCTGCACTCAAATGCACACGAATTGGGTAAGGAATGTATGCAGCTGTGATAAAAGACAATGATGTAGTTCATATTCGGGCGATATTGCTGTTAACACACTGGGTAAAAAGTGCCTCTGAGAGATATTGATTAACATCTGTAAATAAGATCGGCAGCAAAGCTTCAGTCAGCACTATCATACACCGCATCGAACCTATCCCCCCATAGTTCAATAGGGATCATCATTGTTTCGTCATCTCACTTAGTTTACTCGTATCGCAAATGGAGCCATACCGTTCCATCCGTACCATGATCATCCTTTCATTATGTCATGCCATATCAATGTCCGCTCTTCTATGTACTCCCTCTGTTGATTCTACCACCCGGATCCCCACTATTTCACCTGGGCCCACAGCATTGCTTGGGGACACCCATTCACCAACCTGCAGAACGTCCCCCGTCTTGAACGGCACGCCGGCCTGGGCGCACGGAATGAGCTCATCTTGCATAGGGTCGTAGTCGAACTGCGCCCGGACGTATATCTGGGCAGAGACCAGCGGAACCAAGGGACACATGTCAGTATGCGGCGTTCAACGTGGAGTGCGTACCTAACTTATATAACTGGGGGCCATGGGGCACACCGTTCAGCCGGGCGACGAGAAAAGTACGCATCGTGGCTTCGTATTCTGATGGGTAAGCCGTTCATTTTATTGGTGCTGATCGTATGAATGCCTTGCAAAAGGAGTGAATGCAGCATTGCTGTGAACAACATGGGATAAATATCGCAGACACTACGAAACAAAACATTCGAGACGTTCCCCGTATGTAGGTACAAGCAGGGGGAGACTTTCGGCTTCTTCGATGGTTGTTATGAATGAGGTCTATCAATACCTACTGAATTTGCAGCACCCGGGGATCTAATTAGCTCCTTTCCGCGCCATGTACAGTCTGTCTTAAAAGTACCGCGCAAAGTGACGGTGGATCCATCAAGCCTGACCGAGGAAGGGCCTGCTATAATTTGAAAGTCACCGAACCAATGGAGCTGGGGAATGGACGAGGATGTCCATTGCTTCGGTGACTCAAATTTGGCAGTCCTTCATCGGTCAGGCTTGATGGATCCACCGTCACTTTGCGCGGTACTTTTAAGACAGACTGTACTACGTGGAAATAAGGCATCAAGTCGGAGAGTTTTGGGGTAAGGTGAGCGTCATACCCCAAAAGTATACGTTTAACACATAGTAATTGCTGACAGCATGCCACTTGCCAGTGCACATTAGTTCATGCTAAAATGTTAACACGAAGACGAAGCAAATGGATGAAGCGAGGACGTTTTCACACTTACATAGAAATTATAATGCATATCTTTTAAACCTCGCCGGCATTGGCCATTCCGCATCCATAGATGGTTTCGGCGCAGACGAATGGAGCGTCAGCGGCCCGTCGTGTTTGCTCAATAACTTGAGCTGGAGCTTCGCAGGATAAATGTACAGCCTTCCACGAGAGTACCTAAGTTAAATATTGATACCCTTTTTCGAAGTTTTTGGAGAACCAGTAGCCTTACAGGTCAGGTCGGTGACCCAACAATCGATTTGTTTGCGAATGATTTCCGAATAATTTATCGCAGACCAAACTAACAGTATCATCATGTCCGTCTTATAGCAAAGGGGTTCAAATTTTATATCAGCAATGCCTATATTGAGTTCAAAGTTCCATTGAGCACAAATGACCCTGGCTGACCCTGCCATACCTATGACGGGTGTATGGTATGACGTACGTAATCGTCGGCGCTGACCTCGAATTAAGCATTACCTAATTGTGTTCGTCGCTAGACCTTCTGTTTTTCTACGTACGCCCCTACCGCGGGGGCTGGTGCGTTCCCCCTCGCTGCTTCGCCCCCAACTGAGCTAGAGCCTAGTAAAAACGAGCGTATGCGCCGTTACGAGACGCAGCGATTGGTACATACCCGATTTTAAGGTCTCAGTCAGGTCAACCGGTACCTAACTTCTGAGGTCAGTTCAGTTGCCCAGAAGCACTGGTTAGGTATGTAGTACCTACCCAAATAACTTCTCCGAAAAATGGTCGCAAAGCCGCAAATTTAGCACTATCGTGTTTGTCTTGCTCAGGCGCGTCGAATGGTATGGGTACTTTTGTTCGGGTGAAGTCAACTTAACCCTCACCCGTATAGGGGGGGGGGGCGAACGGACCCCCCCCTCGGTTTTTCGCGAGTAGCTCGTGGAGACCGATCGCAACGAAACATTCAGTACCCTCGCATTAATCAATCTAACGCCTACCTTGAAAATTTCATGACCCTGACCCAAATGACCTTTGACCTGTGACCTACTTTTCGAGACCATGTTTGGCCGGAATCGCGATTCGGCGTGAGTCGGCTCGCATTAGTCGTGCGTTTGCAGTCTTTTCGTGGTTTCAAGCGTTGAAACATGAGATATGATGTTGCTCCCATGCATAACGGTGGATGTCAAGGTCAGGTCAGGTCATTGACCTTTGATGACCTCGGCTCACTTTTTCGAGTTTTACATGTTTCTAGGCTAGTTTTTGTTTAGCTGAATTCGAATTTAGCAACTATTTGAACAATTACGAAGCAGTTTTGGTGAATTCGTACCATGTTACGAAGCTGTCAGAGGCGGTTGACAAGTACCTACTACGAATACCCAGCAGGACCCCTACTGGTTAACCTGACCTGACCTGACCTGACCTGACCTGACCCGACCTGGCCTTAATGCATAAAGGCATCATCTGTGATCAAAACTAACATAATATTCGTGATCACTGATCAGCACCCCGAGAAACCCCATAGTAGCCACACTTTACGACGTTCTAGCAGGTCCCGATTTTCCCGACTTTTGGGTCATTGACCTGACCTGGAAGGTCAACCGATGACTTAGGACCTTAAAATTGAGTATCATCGGCTTCTCCTCGTGACGGGCAACACGCTTATTTTTCCGCGAAGCTCTAGCTCGATCAGGGGCCAAAGGCCAGGGGGTCGTAGGTACCCCCCCCCCCCTCTTGTGCCGTCGAAGGATCCTAAATGGCCTGTGCCGGTGAGGGTGCGCTCCAATGGGAGCCGCCCGCATGGAATAAAGTTGTCCGTCCAGCCCGGATCAGGGGTTGTGGCATGGAGAAGAATTTGACTGGCCTGAGGATGCATGGAAACGACGAAACGGGTGTTAACCCTATTCCTGGCGGGGGGGGGGGCCTTTAAGGCCCCCCTTCAGGTTTTTCTTGTGCCATTGCCAAAGGCCGCAAGACTGAAAGCTCATATACTCGGTGACTTTTTCTAAACATTCATTGCGCACATTTTGACAAAAAAAAAGTTGCCGGGTCAGGTCAGGTCAGGTCACCAGAGGCGGTTTGGTGACCCCACCTCAGAAAAGTTTGCAATCACGCCAGAGCTAGAGTTTTTGACCGATCAATTTCTCCTCTTCAGGTTTTAGTTAGGGTACCAGTATGTGCAATTTGTATATCTCAGAATTCTCATATCTGTGACCTGAGGTCAGGCCAGACTCGTGACCTTTACATTGCAATCCTATGGGAAAATATTGAAACGCCTCCTGCTTCGTGTAAACGAGTCAAAACCATCCAATTCTTTCAGTATTGTGGAAGATTATCTCATCGGTGATGATACTGGTGCCGCTAATTGACAGGGGCACCGGCAAAGGTCATCTGAGGCCATGTGACGTCATAAATCGTTTTTCTGTCAATAAATCACGACATGATGGTGCTAAAGAATTGTAAGTGGTACCAAACTGCTCGCCTGGTCAAGGCGCGTCGTTTGATATGCAGCATGACCATACCCCACAACCTCATTGATGAATGACCTGACCTTGACCTCAGGTCAAATTTCAAGTTGACCTGTGAAGGTCATCACATACTTATTTCGCATCGCCTCGGCGAGAGCAACAAAAAATGTATTGGTTTTATGTCTCTATGTTTCTTAGTTTAAAAGTTATATAGGTTACTAATTCCAAAACATTTTATCGTTGATGACCTCTGGTGACCTCAATATTGACCTGACCTGAAAATGTTTTATGTAAAAGTTGTAGATCTTTAAACGACCTATCAAACACCGTTTGCCGTTTGTCGCTGCGATGTGTAGTTTTTTAGATCTGAAAGGGGGGCCGAATCGGCCCCCCCGCCAGTTTCTTGTCCCGGCGGAGCCCGCCAGGAATAGGGTTAAAAGAGCAACTACGCTTTTCCCTGGCACTGTAGCTCTATTCATTTCCGAGTCATGCGGTGGTTGAAAATTGTCGAAATTGGACTTAAAGTTGGCGAAATTTGACCTTGGATGACCTATGTGAACTGACCTTTGACCTGATCTAAAAAGTGACCAGAGAAATTTCGTCATTATTGTTTACGCTCTTCCGAACGCTACCTTTGGCGTGTTGGTAGTTGGTACGTGGCCCAGAAGCCGAGTTAGAAGAGCCCTGGCCGGCCAAGGGGGGCGCGGGTGCCATTCCCACAAGTTTTTTTTTTTTGCGACAGCTCGAAACACGTCGGCAGAAACTGGGCATAGGTACCTGACCTTGATGCAAACTTGGCCTTGTGACACTAACTGCATTTTCACGGGGGTGGGGGGTCTGTTCGCCTTGAGGTCTCTGATACCCACAGAGGGACCCTCTGATGACCTCTGAAGACCATCACTTGGCCTCAAAAGGCCCTCTAGTGACCCCAAAGGCCCTCTGGGTACCTGATAGGGCCCTCTATTTTCTCTTCAGGGACCCTTTTTTACCTAAAAAGATCCTCTTTGACTTCAGATGACCGTATGTTGGTCTCATAAGGCCCACGAGTGCCTTGAAAATTACAGTGATTTATAAGAGTAACAGTATCTATAAAACGTACATCTCGGAATTTTTATATCGGTGACCTAAGGTCAGGTCAATTTTGCGGCCTCTCCATTTTAACCCTCGCCGGCCGAGGGGGGGGGGGGCGGGTGCCGCCTCCCTCTCCCCTAGGGGTTTTTCGCGATAGCTCCTAACACGCTGGCAATAGGGAGCTGAAACTTGGTATAACTAACCTTTGATTCAAGCCAGATCTTTTGACACCAACCGCATTTTCGGGTCAGGTCAGGTCACTGACCTATGACGTCATAAGAGAACCTCTGTACGGTCTTCAGAGTTCAGATGTCGCAACTTCGCAACGCCCTCACTGCCGGAGGAGCTTTCACAGGGAAATGAAACTTGCAGGATCTAGTATCCATTACAAGTCTCACAATTTGTATACCTATCTCGGATTTTTCGTAAAGGTCACATGTGGTCAGGTCATTTTGGTGACCGATCACCATTATAAGTCAATGGGGAAAATGAAAACTGCTATTCTGGCGCCGGAAACGATCTCCAACTATCTCAACCACACAGAATCATGATTTTATGTACTCCTTGCAAGGTTAGATGCGTCACTTTTGCAATGTTGACCTTGCGTGACGTCATTTATGACGTCATCAATGTCATAGTTTTTCGTCAATAACTCCCTATCAAATTGAGCTAGCGAGTCGGGAAAGCCGCCAATGAACTCAGAAAGACCTTCCGAATCGAATGATATGCGACATGATCCCCTTCGACCAGCTTCGTGACCTGGGGCGCTGACCTGACCGTGACCTGAGGTCAACACCCAAAGGTGACCTCACCCAAATAAAAAGTGTATCATTCGACGCGCCTGAGCGGGGCAAACACGGTGCTTCCAAAATCGCGGCTCTGCGGCCGTTTTTTGCGAAGTTATTCACCAAAAACTGAACCGTACCTTGGGGCACTTGACCTGACCTCAGAGGTCACCGGTTGACCAAGGTCCTTAAAATCGGGTATCAATCTCTGCGTCTCGTAACGGCGCACACGCTCGTTTTTCTGCGACTCGCTAGCTCCACCAGGGGCGAAACGGCGAGGGGGTCGTACCCCCCCCCCCCCCACATCGGCCGGCGCGTATGTAGAAAACCAATAGGTCCGGCGAGGGTTAAGTCAATGGGGAAAAAAAAGAAAAGCGTCTCTTTTGCACGAACGCCATTTTAGACACTCTCAAATAACGGGACGTAGGTAAAATTGACACACTGAACCGGAAAATGGCACCTGTGACCCCTCGTTATGTCCCGGAGGTCATATCAGGTCACGAATAGTATCTAACAGTTTTTTTCGCTAATAACTTCTGATAGAGACATGCTAGAGCGATGAAAACACCTTAGATGTGTTCGGCTCGACGATGCGGATCGACTGATATGCAACATGACCTTTTCCGGTCAGGTTTCCGGCCATGACCTTGACCTGAGGTTAAATTTTCAAGTTGACCTTTCAAGGTCAAATTATTCATTCGAAGCGTCTCGACGAGAGGAACGCGATGCTGGCAAAAGTAATGTGGCTACTGGCTCTTTTGAGTCAAAAGTTATTGTCGTTTTCGTAAAAACGGCTATTTTCGGAGTTTTTGCCCTTTGGAGGCTAAACCGTTGAGCAGAGGTCAAATCTGAGGACATGTTGGCGAAAGAGCGTTAAAAGAGCTATCGAATGCGTTTTTCCGCGGCGCTGTAGCTCTATCGGTTCCCGAGTTAGCCATTGGCAGTTTCCAAAATGTTGAAATAGCTAACATTTTACCTTTGGTGACCTCTGGTGACCTGACCTTCGACCTGACCCAAAAAATGACCGAAGTGTTTCGTCCTCATTTTGGACTTTCTTTCGACTGCCGCTTACTGCGTGTCGCTACGTGGCCCAGGAGCCGAGTTAGAAGGAGGTGTTCAGACACCCCCGGCCCGGCGCGGAAGTCTCGGAGCACCGCCCGCGGCCCGACGCGGGTTAAGCAACTCCGTACGTAGATGAGGCGACCCTCGGCTTTTCGAAAATGACAAATTCGTGTGTGCTGCAACACTGCATACATATTTTTTTGAAAATGCAGGTGGCCAATGTTGTATGCTAGTATGGCAACTTTTGCCCAGCAAAATATTCATTAAAAATTATGGTTTCCGCCTTTTTTTGCTCACTTATGCCAGGCGTATGACAACATTAGCTACCTTAGCGAGTTTTATAAAAAAATATAAATCACCCAAAAGACCGCGTGTATTTAAACCACAAGGCCAATTTTCCAACACTACTTTGACCTGTACACAAAAGAGCATTCTGGCAGAAGCCAAGCACAAAACCCTAAAAACGCACCGGCATCAGTACCTACCTGCCACTCAGCACTCAGTGCTGTCAGTACCTAAGTCAAGTACTGCTTCTGAAATCGGGACCCGACAGACATAGACCTCGAGACGGGGCTTATTTCGTTTTTGCGACCAAAGGAAGGCGCTATATACGGATAATGCTCCAGGCAGCGCCTTCCTTTGGTTGCTAAAACGAAACACGCTGTCCACCTATTTTATCATTTTAAAGAAAGGAGTTAACATCCTGAATTTGTGTGTATTCCGAGCTTATCTCAACCACTACAAGTTGGAAACCACAAGTTCACTAGTGGCGCACCCGTTACCGCCCTCACTGGATCCTAGCCAACCCTGATTTTCCGTTGATTTTTCATGGGTTGTTTTAACCCCTCCTACTTCCAGTATGCGGCGGAACACCTTCAATTAAAGGGCGGGGGGGCACTGCCGACTTTTGGTCCCATTCTTTCCATGCAACGCCCATAGGGCTAATTTAAAATGCCAAAATCAAAGGGGCACGGTGCCCTGGTGCCCTCCCCGTACCGCCGCCTATAGGTACCTACTTCCTAGCCTTTCAATTTGGCCTTAGGACCTACTTGGATTGTTCCCAAAGGTAACTGATGAACAATCTTACCGAACCATAACAACTTTTCTGCACTAGATAAGTGTAAAAAGCTACAGCAAAACAAATCATTTTTTTTTAGGCGTGGGCCAAAGTTGCCCTTGGTGGTCAAAGTTGCACGAAACTACGGTAGGTATCTACTCTTTGAGAAGGAAAGTTATCGAGCGTCGTCGTACCATGGACCTAACCTTCTACGTCAAGAACCGTTCTTGCTATGAGCATCTACGTAGGCTCATATTTTTAGCGCAGCCAATATGAACCTGTCAGTGTCATGGCCTTGCTCTCGATCCGACAGTCACGCATCGGCTTACCGCGACGGTAACATTTTCTGCTTTTACCGTTTCCAATTCTGTCGTTGTCAGGAGTCAGTCCACTGGAGCTCACCGGTTTGCTATAGACTCGTACCTAATGCTCTGTCCTTTTTCCACATCGTTTTTTCTTCACCATTGCGTCGTTGCCTCCTCTCCGTCTTCGCCCTTCTCTCCGTTTCCGGCGTGGTTGTCGGTGCCGCCGTCTCCCCCGCCCCGCTCCCCCCCCCCCCGCCCTCTGATCGTGACCGACCAGTGACGGGTGCCGTCTTTAGTCAGACGGATGACCCACTTCCTCGCCGGCCATTCGCCACGGGTACATACAGACTACAGAGCGGGACGCGAATGGGTCTGACCGCACCGACGCACCGCACTCTGTAGTGGGCGTGTGCTGGTGACCCTGTGCGTATTGTACCGACTTCCAGTGCTATTCGCTTATTGGATTAGGAAAATGTTTTCGGTCGTATGCGTTGCGTTTAAAGTACCTAATCCTTAACTGTCTGAAAGTTGTACTCACCGAGAGATAAATCTCATGTCAGTTGTCACGTTTAACTATTTATCTCATAACTCCAAACCCTAAAGTTGTGAGCCCTATGAAGTGCCGCAACTACTATCACCAGAATCAGGCACGGATACTTGTTTCTTGAAGTCGCTGTGACGCGATTCAGCAGTCTTTTATATATAATCGAGCTCGTGCCGTGCTCTCCTTGATCACCCACCCCTGTGCTCCGGGCCGGACGGCCTCCGGTAACCGAGTTTGGAGACGATCAACTCAATTGGAGCCAACTCCTCGGGGGATGGCTGTTGGCGAGGTTCGGCGGTCGGTCCCTCGAGATCGGCTGGACCGCGGCCGCGCAACAGCTGGCGGCCTAAGCCCAGTCCTAACGTCTCCCTATAGGTATAGCTGATCATCCAGAGGCCCTGCCATGGATTCAGAGTGGGCCGAATCCCAAAAATTAGCATGGCCACTGGCCAGCTTAGTGAGGAGTCCTAACTGAAAGACGCTTACGACAGGAGACGAACCACGAAATGGCGGACGTCGACCAAAGCGGGTCATGAACGCTGTGCGTTGATGCAATGACTACCCGCCTTCACCTACATTTACCTAAGATGACCTCTGGTGACCTGACCTCTTACATCACCTAAAAACGGCCGAATACCTTCGTAAGTATTTTTGACAAGACCAGGCTTCGTACACCACTTTTCGATTGTTACTATGGCGCCCAGTATCCAAGCCACATGTGGTTATATAACTTTAAGAAGCTGTATCCTCTCGTTCAGCATTCCGAGCGGAGCATACACGAAGACTCCGTGGTCTGAGCTATAGGTATCGAATACCAGACAGCCCTGACATTTTCCTGACGCTGCGGCCCGCCATATAGGTGGTCCAGTGATATGTCAGCATCACCGCTGGGGGTATATATGTGCCGCTGTGCGTGGGTGGCGCTCCTCTTGCGACGCCCGCTCTGTCACGCTAATGCATTTTGCCCGTAGGCGCGACAATCTCATGAGCTAGGGCGACGCGTTCTGCTGAGCTGCTCAGGAGAGCTCAGGCGGCGCAGGGTGCAGCACAGGAGGGCGACTGGATGTAACTAACTGGATGTCCGGCTTCCATAGGAAAGTTGTGGAATTGATTCGACGCCTATACACCAATAAACTCGCGATAACCATAAAATGAATTGGTATTTTGAGGCAATAAATTATCTGTGTGCTAGCCTCAGGAGACTTAACGTGAAAACGAGCGTATTCTCTGCCATTAGATTCAGCGAATGACCACAAACGGCGAATTTTAATATTTCAGATCAACCGGTGACCTTACACTTCAGAGCGATGGCGATGTTCAGGGCGCCCGAATTATAGGGTGATCACCGGCACCCTTGCAGCTCAGGTCAATGACCCATTTTTTTGTAATTCACTCACAAAAAAATCAAAACAACAAAGAAAAAAGTACGGAGCTAGTAAACATGAAGTCACGGCGTGCGTCTACGAGGGCTGTGATTACCCCAGGGACTACAGATTTCACCGGATCAGAGGAACGAGGTCATGAAAAACTATGTAGTAGGTATACGATCTGCCATGTCGCATCCAGCATCCTAGTCATCAGATCAGATGGCCATAATAATACCAATTGCTTCATTCCACAACAGCAAAAACATCGAAAGGATCGGAATAATTACAAGGCAGCTGAATTACAGCCGAATGGGCTGAAACCCTCAAAGGCAGCAATGTCTAGCGCAGGAAATTCCCGTTGGAGTTTGAACAGCTAGTTCTTGGCTCCACCCCACGACGAGCTACTACCGACTTGAACAGGACGACCACAAACATGCAGCACGACAGTGACATTACTTACTATCACCGGGGCCGGACTTTTCCTAAACATCTGCAGAGAAAGAGAGGCGTGTCACAATGGGCCGGCCCGTGTCGGAGAGAGCTGGGCACCACGAATGGTGCAAGATCGGCTCATCACTGCCAGCACAGCCCACTTGGTGAGCGGGGCAGAAGTTTTTTTATTGGGTACGAGTATCTTGTTAGGGGTTCCATAACGATCCCTCTCGAGCTCGACACGAGGTAGCGTATAGGCAGAAGTGCGACAGGCGCCAAGAAAGCTCACCAAAAATAGATACGATTTACGAAGGTACTTGGGCCATTTTCAGATCGACAAAAAGTGAGGTATACTGAATGTTAACCCATGGAACAGTGACAGCGACGAGAGAGGTTTTAGTTCAAGGACACCTCAGCGACGAAGGCCATATGGAAACATTGGAAAAGTGACAGCGACGATCGACAGCTAAAGCAGCTAAAGCATTAGTTTACAGTCGATCCAGCAGTGTGACAGAGTTGACCTCAGCTGAAAGTTTTGAGCTTCAAAGGCCATCATAGGTCATCAAACGTGAGAAAACGTACTATTGGACGAAAACATTCTTTTTCTTCTCAATAACATTTGATTTTACAAAACTAGGATATTGGTAAAATTGGTAAAAATCAGGATACCGTCTTGCTATCGATGTCTTTCATGCCACGATACCGGAAACATGTTATAATTGACAATAAAAGGTAAACTTGAAAATATGGGCTCAGCGTATGGGTACCTGACCCTGAGCTCCGAAGTCATGTAACACATCTTTAGAACTGTCTCGATAAAGCCAACACATTTAATAACTTTTTAGTCTGTTACATAGTTATTAGGCATAGGCGCTCTATATGACCTCAAATGACCTCAAATGGGTAAAGGGTTAATGATGTTCCGAAATAAATATATTCTAAAATATGTTTTACGACTTTAACTTTGGGTTTTCACTTTATAATTGCCGCATCTTTAGTTGTAAACCGTGCCCACTGCCCATTCGCCACAGCTATAAAGGTAGGTAATCGCTTTATTTCTGATACCAAATTACAATGTCCATTCAAGGTTTAGCATGTCCGTCCAGGCTCCAGCTCGATTTAGTAAGACCATTTCAAACCATTTGTAGCAAGCTAGAGCTGACATTGTCCTTTCTAGACTGCTCTTAATCTGAACTGGTCCCAACCCCGACTGAAACTGAAAGGACAAATGGGCATTATCAGCGTTGGAGGTGTAAATAACTGACAAATGCGTAGCGGAACCTTAATACCGTATATCGTTTGGCATTGTGATTTCCGGTGACTCGAGCGTAGTGACCAGTGGCGGATCCGGGGGGGGGGGGCAAAATGGGCATTTCCCCCCCCCCCCCCAACGGCATAATTTTAACATTACGCCTATGGACGATACATGGAAAGAATCGATAAATTGTTATGGTTTGCCCCCCCCCCCCAAAAAAAAAAAACTGAGCTGGATCCGCCTCTGGTAGTGACGTAACCATAACTAGTATGTTCTTTGTTTCCAGTTCATCTTATCGCCATCATCATCTGTGACACGCTATGTGAAACTGTGTATTGTATAAGCCTACGCTATGACAAGCTGGCACCGTTATATTAACTTCATCTTTTCTGCAGCTGTCCTCTTTATATACCACCCTGTTCTGTTGTCTTCATTCTCACCAGCGTTGATGATGCAACCGAACGGTTCCGACTCGAGTGCCTGTTATAGTGACTCGGGTATTCGGCAGGCTGACTCGCGCATTTGCCACACCGACTCGGCTATTGGCCACGCTGACCTCTTCGCGTATATCCCTGGCAGACTGACCCGGGTACCTGCCACATTGACTCGAGTATTTGCCGGCAAACCTTTGATTGCCAGGGTGCCGTACGGCTTGCAGGCTCAGATGCAAAAAAAAAAAAAACATTATTCGAAACTTATCAGCAGTTTAAAAATATTATATTTGTACACCGAGCAACATCAGCATACAAAACATGGCTTGCAGACAACCATGCAATAACGATAAACATCGATAAATAAGGGGCTAATATACGCATACATAAGCCAAGGAAAACGCGACGAAGGCCATACTAGCACGGTAGTCATACTTTGATAGCCACTTCTGTAGGCCACGGCATGATCGTCGGTCGCATGCCAAAAATATCGAGTCAACAAAAAGTGAGCCTGACTGCAATAGAAAAGTACATCAAGACTTGCATTAAAAACGAGCATGCAGATGAATTGAACATAGCGGCGCAGTTCATGCTCGGTACTAGCAGCCGCAGGAGGAGCAAACCCCCTGCGGTGTGCAGCTTGTAAACAAGAACAGCTGCCATTCCTCACATTACCACGGAAAGCACATGGATGTCCGGAGACACTGAAAGCTGGGGACTGTGCCGAGCCGTACTGTGGATCGGGCACCAGGTGCGCGCGGCCTAGAGCTGCCCCCTACCCTACCTAACTGCCCGCCACCGGCAGCGCGGCAGTGACAGAACGCTACGCTAACCCGCGCCCGGCAGAACAACAAATGAACCTCTCACTTCCCTTCTCCAAGAAAACGACCACACAACAAGAGACGGAAATTGCTGAGGGTGCCGGACTGCATCGACGGTTAACCTCGGATTTCGAAATCAGGTGACGAAAGGTCAGGTCAAGTTCGAAACCAACTCGGAAAGCAATGGTCAATAGCCGCATTCAAGATTACTTTACTAATATCGTATTGCCTCAGAAGCGGTAAGGTACTTTACTTTCCTACCGTTTTTTTTTTTATTATTGACGTTTGAGTGAAACCGCTCCAGGTCCAAGCCCATTTTCGGTCATTACGCTATGTCATCCCATGAATGAGCCAGGTTGCACCTGGAATTGTTATCAGTAGCAAGGAGGCATAAGCGGCTGAACTTCTCTAAGCCCGGATCATCTGACCCCTATTCAGGACTGAGGGTGGCTCCCTTCAGCAGAAGTCTCTTTTTGAGCTGTTCTCCGCTCCCAACCAACGGGACGTTAGGTAAGTATTTCGGTGCATAGCAGCTCATTCTCCCCCTATGCATCACCGACATAATCATCCAGACGGCCAAGGTCATTGTATGGGGGACGATCAGCTCCATGGTCTACCAGACCACCACGTCCCGCCGAGGCCTGACCGTGATAACAGGCTTTCATGCTGGTACACTGAGCTCTGGAGCAGACTCATTATCATTGTGAAGGCGAAAGAAAAATGGACTAGGTTGTTACTCAACAGGACATATGCTACATCACGTTTCGCCAAAAAATCGATAATACATAATGTTTATATCATAAAAGCAAGTGTAACTATTCACAGGTAAAATTTTACCGTGCATTTGAGGTCATCTGATGTCACCGGAGGTCGCCACGGGGTTTTTGCAATAATTTTGAGACAGAAAGGTCCAATACGGAAGGAAATATTTGGCATCTTAGTCTTGTCGAGACAATTCCATCGATGCACAACCATTTGAAGTGTCCGTTCATGAGCCTACTTAACTGAAGTCATTCATGCCTAATACGCAAAGCGACTGCAAGCCATAGAAAAATCGTCCAAAACGCACTTGCGATTCACTCATGTCACGCTTCATTTCCGCACTCCCTTTGAGCACAAAAACTCAGAGACCACCACACAGAAGCATGAAATCAAATCATCACAATGGCGTTTCAGTTGCCTCGTTTAAATTCACGCCGCTGCACTGTGCAGAAGCAAATATTTCAGGGAATTATCATCAAACAAAAGCCGCGAGATGTGCAAGGCGAGAGTCATTCCCTTCCCAATTGCTTATCAAATGATTAAGGTATATTCTTTTTTATAAATCCTACTTTAAGTTCTCAGTAAATGAATTGACAGAGCCGGAGCCCAAGCTACATAAAACTTGTTTTGCGCAGGGCCGAACCCCTTCCGTCCAACGGGGTGATCCAGGGGTAATTGGGGAATCTGGGTTCTCAAGTTTAGCGAGCTCATCAAAGCCTAATACGGTTCGGTTCACCCCTCTAACGGACTTCAACTAGCCGTAGCTAATCCTTGCAACCGCAGACCCTCTCAGCCAGGAATCTCATAGGTGCAACCCTCGTCTCATTGCATGGTAGGTATTCTTTTTGACATCAACGACATACGCCTGATATTAACCAATGCCAATTATGCTAAATGTATCTCTAAGAGACCTTCATAAATAGCACAAAATCGTTCAATTGAATGTGTCTCTATTTTTGCCTACTCTTGTACGACCTAAGACGGCTTGCTCGTTATTCCGAATAGAACCCGTAACCTTTTTGTAGGCTTTTAAATGTTTACTACAAAGATGTGTCATTAACAAACGATATCCACATTCAGGTATCACCAGGAGGTCTCTTTGGTTGTGAAGGCAATTTTCATCGTTAGGGGGGGGGGGGGGGGATTTCAGAGTCCACAGGTCACCTAGGGCGCGGGTTAAATAAATGTGATTTATGTTTGGCACAAGTAAAGCTCAGTGCAGAGCCGGAAAGCAGGCAGCGCGCACCAGGACCCAGCAGCAGGCACAGACGGGCAGACAGGAAGGCGCGCGCGCGCGCAGCCCCGGCAGGCCGACTAGTCGAGGGGAGGCGCGCGGCGCGCCTCGCGCAAACAGGGGTACAGCTCGTAAGGGTCGATTACCTCGCAGGCTGGCGGCGCCGACCGGTACGACGGCACGATCTTAAAGGTGACTGAGCCGCGCGAGTCCCGCTGCAACAAAGGAGAGGTGCCGGTTAGCTGGTCAGCAGTACCCCCGTGTCGGGAATCAGAGGCAAGGTGCGAAACCTCTGACATAAAAACACTGAAGATATATTTTCAATCATGGCTTGGGGTTCGGAACTTGACGTCAAGTGAAATGCACGCATGTAATTAATGAGCAATGCTCACAAAACACAACATAGACGAAACAATGAACTACACTCCCATCACGCAGAACGGACTTAATAGCGAAAAGCACCCGCCTCACATAAAAGTAACAAGAACGAACAGAACAATTGAAAGCACCCACACCACCCACAGGGGACAAATACGGAGGAAACAGTAAAAACCCGCACAACATAAATCGGACGGAACATTCGACAGCCCTCGCCCCATAGAGTGGATGGAACGACGAGCATCAGGCCCACATCTACTCGTAAACCTGACGTAAAACGGGCAATAACACCCGGAAGTGCGCGACACGGGGAGACAATCCTATCATTTTGACAATAAAAGCGTGTGCGTTTGAAAAAAAAGACTTGTCACAATGCAAACAAAACACAATTTATGCAACGATATTTACATATGGACAACACGACACTAAGCCTTCTGAAAAAAGAAAGTTATGGGTTAAACGCACTGGCTTCATTCACGGTACCAACAAAACATCACCACCACAGGGTGTCCCATTATTTCGGTTACGCTTGAGCTGTGCGTAGTGCGTATTCCCTTCAGTACCTAATATCTAAATAGATGACTTTGCATTTTATTGAAATATTCAAAGCGTTACCACTGGCATCGTTATTAAGCGTCTCAGCGCACACGTTAAGTTAGGAATAAGACCGCCACCCCGGAGTTGGATTCGCTGTCCCATTCCGCATCACTCTAGCAGCGAGTTAGGGACAGTATCCCAAGTGCAGCAGCTCCCGCCGTCCCGAAGCCTACCGGAACCGGGCTATGTCGACAGTTGAAACGTGCATTTCGCAAAGTGATGTAAACGAACATGCAGCATCGCGTAAAAGTGAGCAAATAGTGGACAACATTTGTGAATGGATTAACCATGACCCAAACGGCTTTCAGTTTAGCAAGCCATGAGGGTCATACGAAAATGTTTGAGTCAATACAGTCGATAACAAAGGCGTCGTACAAATAACAATAAGCAATTGTTTCCAAGTTTCCCAGGCCAACACCGTAAAGGAAGAGAAAGACGACATTTGGTCCAAAACTGTTCCAAAACCGAAGCGATTAGTCCTAATTAGTCACGCAACCCAAACTTCACAAAACGATCGGGTCCAGACCAAAAACAAAGCAGAGATTTCTCTACGAACTGCAATGAAGAAAAGAAAAAAAGTTACGTGATTATGTGAAGTGATGTGAAGTACTATGAGCGACCAGGATTTGACGAAGCTGCATGGGTAAGCAGAAACCGACAGCCGTCACCACCTGCGTCAGCGAGATTTCGATGACACATCAGCCTCCCGCAGTCAGCGTTTTTTCAGCCAGAGGTCTCTTCTGGAGACTTAAATGGCGTACGGCCCGACATGTCTACGTTCATAGGCAGGACTTACAGAAAAAGTGCCCGAATTCGCATAAAAAAGGACAAATGTGGAGCAAAACCAGGTGCTATTGTTCGTGACAAACGGCGTTGCTGAATATTGTCTAACTTGAGCTTGCTGAAGAACCAATGGGAGATTCCCGAGAGGATCAAGACCAGAAAAAAATCTACGACACCTTCTGGGGCGCCTGGTGGATAAACCACCGATACAGATTCTAACGTTACAGATCCACGCATCACGGTATGGGTACTTTAATCTGTGAAAAGAAAATAAGCGAGAAAGAAATTGTTCATTATAGTTCGTTTTTCTTAAGTTTGCCCCTCACTGTAAACGTCTTTTTGAACACAGCACGAGAATTGCTAGCTGAATTACTGAGAAAACTGGTTAGCGCACATTGTATTGTAGATATGAATAATATTATCAAAATAAGGTTCGAACACCGACGATTTAACGTTATGTTATGTGCCGTGCAATTTATTTATTAGTTCAGACATAATTGCTGAGAAGTCGTCTATCCCTGTGGGGCTGTAGGTATTGGCAAATACGAGCTACGAGTCTGTGAAAAAGTAAATAAATTTGATGAAATTGATCGTCTGTAAAATCTGGTGAAATCAATGTGCGCCAACCAGTTTTCTCAGTAACTCAGCTAGCAATTCTCGTGCTGTGTTCAAAAAGACGTTTACAGTGAGGGGCAAACTTAAGAAAAACGAACTATAGTACCTACCTGAAAGTGTAACCGAATTAATGGCACACCCTGTATAATAAATATAAAGATATCGAAGGAACAAAACATCAGAAAGGGAGGCAGACATAAAATACCAAAATACACCACACACAAAAATAACAAGTTTTAGTACAAAACACAACTTCCATACTGCAAAATTTTTTGAATTAAATGTTGTTTGTTAAGAAATTATGCACAGTTTTCAAAAATGCATCTGACCTAAACATATCAAGTTAGTCATTCAATCCAACATATCACGCTCTAGTCATCATCAGTACCTAACCTGCGCGCACGATCCCAACAAACTCGCACCGACTGACACACAAATGATAGATAGCTCGAGGACCGACGAGGGACGATTTTCCTGGCTATCATCCCATTTCAAACATTAAAAAGCAGTCTGCATGCTTCCTCTTTGAATTGCATAGATATAACAGAAGTTTAAACCATAGCCTCGGCTAAAACTATAGCTTCGGCTTAGCAAAGAAAAAGAGCAAACAGAAAAGCATGTGAGTTTGCAACTTTTAAGCAACGCTTATGGTACACATGAAACTTATTTGTAGCGTAAACTGACACCTCAAACTCATGCACTTCAAAATGACCATTATTTGCATCGACCAGTCCCGAATTCTCTCATCCATATGCATCCCGACATCCCTGATTATCGTCCAGCAGTTTCCTCAAACGTGCTCATACTTACTTGTCACCGATCGGCGACGTTCAGGCTCCTGATGCTGAGGCGCAGGCACATTCTGTTCTGCTTTCTATGGTCAAACAGTATTTGATGGGGCAAATGGACACAATTCCGTCTCTAATTTCCAGCGCAGCGTCTTACCAGGATCTTCTGGAGGACGTCGACGTTCTGGTTGGCCACGGGCACGCCGTTGATCTCCCTGATCTCGTCGCCGACGTGCAGCGTGGCCTGCCGGTGGATCATGCCGCCGTGCATGATGCGCGCCACCAGGCAGCGGCCGTCATCGCTCATCTTCAGCGTGATCCCCTGTGCACAGAGCGCAGCGCCGACAATCACGGCCCGGCCTGCGCTGCAGCCGCCGCTCCCCCGCGGCCGGCCGGCGGAGGCGCGCACGGCACGAGGCGGCGCTGCGCCCGCCCGACCGACGACGGACGCCGCGAGCAAAGGCTCCCTGGTCAGTGTTATTGGGGGAGAGCCCCTTGAAAGTTAGGAGGACTTTAACGGGACAAAAAGACATACAGGGAACAATGAGCAAAAAGCATCCGGCCACCGAGACGGGCGTCGCATCACGTCAGAGAACCCGTGCCCGCCTGGTGGAGACCAGCCAACCGGATAATCGGGGTCAGCGAGACAAAAATGGGACGATGGAGCATCCTGGGGAACACGACCATTGATCACCGCCAGTCAACAGCTCACTGTCAGCACAAACATTGAAAAACAACGAAAACACGGTGGAGATATTATACGAGACTTCCGAATGGGCTAAATACAAATTGAGTGCGCGTTGGCAACGTCCGTATGAACACTTCTCACAAGGTTATACGATTTACAGTCAATTAAATATTGGAGACAGTAGACCGTAGACACTGCTTCAGACACGTCTGTTTATGTCCATTTAGAATATTGTCTGGGTGGAGACTTATCAAGCATTTGAACCCCATTAATTAAGACAAAGAACGTCTCCTGTTTCATTCAATGACATTCTTCACTTTCCTGTTATTATTTTTGTCATATTGCAGCGTGCCAGCGGACATGCTGCCGATTGCTTATTCCTCTGATTACCCAAGGTTTGGGAGCCCACACTGAGCGAATAGATCGATTTCCATTAATCCAGGAGGCACTCTAAACAGGCACTGCCAGTTACCCTTTAAAAGCATTGCCGTTTTAATAGCAATGCAAATTTTATCTAATTCAAGTTCCTAGTAGTATAGGCGTTGCATCGGCTAGACTTCTTATGACTTCTACAAAATGTTCGATTACGTTATTTATTATGTTTGACCAAAGAACCAAGTGTATCTACACTGGTCACACAACACAACGTATGTTCACTCAGTAAAACCCACTTCCTCGTGGCTATACAGTCGAGATAAAAACGCAGGAAGAATACAAGATAATGAATCCGAAAGAATGATCAGGTATGGGAGGCATGATTCCAAAGTGGGGAACGATAAAAGTGTGCCGGGGATGGAGGCTGGAGGGTGGAGACAGCAGCCAGGAGGCGGGTCAGTCGAACCCTGTTCAATTGGCACGGGGACCTAGTAATCATGGCCAAGCGTCCAAGGGAGCAGACATGTGCATGGATCCGAGCGATGGATCTATAATCCCAGTGGATCTCGAAGCAAACTGCAGGTTAGGATCTATGATCTCATCGGATCCGGCGTGAAAAATTTACCTTGGATCTATGATCTCATACGATCTGACGATAAACCAAGAACATGGATCTATGTTCTGAGGGGATCCCACCATGCACAACATTTGAAACCATATTTAAAAGGGTTTCTATGTCAAAAAGTGCTACAAAACTATGGATTATGACGTGCAATCACATAAAATCACTACAACAGAACGTTTATGAGTTGCAACAAGTATTTTGGAGGATTTCTGTGTTGACAACACATAAGTGAGGATCTATGATCCCCCTGGATCTCAAGCAAAAAATGAGACTCGGATCTGTGATCCCTATGGATCTCTCGAAAAATTAGAGAGCTGGATCTATGATCCCGTCGGATCAGAGATCAGGATACGTTGGATCAGATCCGAGATCCATTTTCTCGGATCCATGCACATGTCTGCAAGGGAGGTATGTAGTTTTGGGGCTGATAATATCACCAATAACAAGAAGTCTGTTCCGGTAAGAAGGGGTTAATTAATGACGTTAATACATAACTAACAAGTCATGTAGTCATGACATAACTAACAAGCTACGAACTGATGGACACGTGCAACGAGCAAACAAATGGAATTCAGTCATAGATAATATACCTTTAATATTACGTATCAATGACTTTCCAATGAAAACAGGATGACTGACAAAATCCAGTCAAACTGATTTCGTTTATGACGGCTCAGAATAAAAACCACCAAATATATTCAAAGACTTTATCGTTATGAACATGTTCACGCTGTTGGTCAGGTAATGTATGCGGAATCCGAAGGGGACGTTTAGAAACATGCATTTGGATTTGCATCTACTAATAGAGAGAAATATAGGTCATTTAGGCATGAGGCAAAATACACAAAATGATGTATCAAAGATAACATTATTATTTTACATCTGTTAGCTAGGTGCTCTAAAAATGTTATTATCTCGTGAAATCTAACCAACTCCAGGTTTCACAAACAGTCTATTGGTATTCCAATTCCGTTACCCGTACCACAGCCAGTTATTGAGCTGATTGACATCTGATGACCGACTAAGAATGGTTTGATTCCGAGCCGTCTAAAACGGAATCGGTTCAGGGATTAACATCAAGCACAAGCTTGTTCAGCATGCAAATATCGCAACATAGGGAGCTTCACTGCCCGTTCCAGCATCAGACCCGCCTAATTGACGCAGCTGAGCTACCCAACAACGAGTTCATTAACACGCCATTCGTTGCGCCGTATAGAGAGCGCACCCGGGCGAGCGTTTTTTCCCATTCATGTCGGCTTTATTACCCTGCAGACATGGCCGGAGGCTTTTGGAGGTTACCATCGCACAGTGATGCAAATGGGGTTCACGAGTGGCCATAAATACGAAAAAGGCCCAAAATTCAAGTTCACTTAATCGAATAAATCGTAATATGGTCAGTCAGGCAAATGTTTGGGGTGTCTGAAAAAGTATGATTTTAATGTTTTTGTCAAAACCGGCCTCGTGTAGGATTGTCAGAAGACGAGACATTTTCGATGTCGTAAAATGACTGTCAGGTACTTGAAATTCAAGTGCCGCTAGCGTGCGTTCATGTCATGCATACTGCAAAAATTATACATGAAAATGATCCCCGAAACCTGCTGCTTCTAATGCCACGTCATAAAAACCCGTATCTATTTTGGTTCGGCGGTGAGCTAACTATTTGTAATCATGTTGCAACCGCAGTTTTTTACCAAAAATATTTGCTTTCAATTCACCTACAGCACTTCATACAGTGTGTGCCCGTTAGTGCACCATATCATAGCATTCCCTAATCATTTCTGAGTCGCATCGTGAAAGAATGAAGGCGCTAGCACAGGGCTGACCGGCGCTACAGAAGTTTTCGTCCGGCACAGTCGGGTGCCGCGGCGCAGCAGGCGGCCCGGGCGGCGCGCCCACTGCGGCACCAGACCACCCGGACAAAAAGCTCTGTAGCGCCGGTCAGCCCTGTGCTAGCGCCTTAATTCTTTCACGATGCGACTCAGAAATGATTAGGGAAGGCTATGGTATGGTGGACTAATGGGCACACACTGTGTTAAGTGCTGTAGGTGAAACGAAAGCATTTTTTACTTAGTAAAAAACTGCGATTGCAACATGATGATAAATAGTCAGATTACCGCCAAAGCGAATGAGATACGGCTTTTTGTGACCCGGCATTAGAAGCAGAAGGCTTTGGGGATCATTTCCATGCATAATTTTTTCAATTTGTACGAAATGAACGCAAACCAGCGGCGTTTGAACTTGCGAGTGTCTGACCGTCATTTTACGACCTAGAAAATGTCACGACTTCTGACGATTATACACGAGGCCGGTTTTGACAAAAAACATGAAAACCATGTGATTTCAGATGCCCCAAACATTTGTCTACTCGGCCATATCGCAATTAACTCGATTTGGTAAACTTGACTTTTGGGTATTTATGGCCACTCGTGAACCCCATTTGCATCACTGTGCATCGGGATAACATTGCACACGGGACAGTTGGCAGTGGCACAAGACGACCATAAAAACCTTCGCATATCGGAGTTTTGAATGATTACACCATGCTCGGGACTTGAAAATGGTAAAATAAGGCACACATTTTCCAAGTCTCACTTGTAGGTGCACTCATGCATCCCGGATTTTCCACCAGTATAACGCCTTTTGGGGCGACTAACGGAGCGAGCGAGAGGGTGGGCCTTGCACGTGCGAAATTGCGAGGCGGTACCTCCAACTGACTTGTGCACAGCACCCTACTAACCGGTCTCTAACGATGTGCCAAATTTGAGCACAATCGGCCCAGCCGTTCTCGAGATCTGGAAGCGGCACCCTGCACGTGCGCACGTGCAAAATGGGTCCCAACTGACTTGTGCACGGCACTTTTCTATCCGGTCCCTAGCCACGTACCAAATTTGGGCGCAATCGGTCCAGCCGTTCTCGAGATCTGTAATCGACCCCTGCACGTGCGCACGTGCAGCAGCACCCCAACTGTGGCACATGGATATGCATTGCATAGTGGGTGCCTACCTACATGCCAACTGTCAGCGCAATCGGCCCAGCAGTTACCGAGATATTGCAACAATTACAAAAGTGACACCTCTTCGTTTTGCACGTGGCACGTGCATAAGGGGTCACCCACATGCATCGGGAATAGTCCAATACTTGGTAGAAGGAATGAAGCTACCCTACAAAAATTACCGCGTGTAAATCGGTCAAGTGGTTGCTGAGATATAAGCGTCGCAGAATCGTGACCACGGCCGGCCGGCCGGCCGGCCGCTCATACTCAGAAATTTCCGTTATTCTACGTAAGACTCCGCTCGCTTCGCTCGCTCCGTAATTAGGTGGGGTGCTCACTTGTGTAACACCCGAAAGGTCGTCAAAATCGTCTGGCCGATTATAAATATTTGGACGCATTACGCAGTTTGAGTTATATGACGGGCCACGCCCATAGTACAGCGTATGCTCAATTGGTAGCAACTTAAGTAGCTCGAATTCGTCGCACTTGGACCACATGACACGCACGAACTACGCAGTCGTCACAATCCACAGACAGGCAGCTCCAGCAGCACAGCCCTCGCAATCACGTCTTCCTTCTCGCTCCGCCGCTGATCATCGTGCTACACACTCCATCCAGTCCAAACCACACACAGCGTTCCTC